TGGAAGAAGGCCTATTACCTGCAACCAGGAACCATCACCATTCGTCTGGGGACTTGGAAAATAGGAATATATATAACATACCATTCTTGAGGAAACCAGGATCAGAAGGTCCCTTTTAGGAGCTTTCCTTTCTTCGACCAGGAGCGGAAGGTGGAGCGTAAGCGGCTCCAACAGCGAGCGGAGGAGACCCGGTGGAGCAGGATGCATCAAAGCAACTAGCTAGCAACCACCTGCTGGTAGATGTATTCTTCGAGATATCTGAAGCATCAGCTCAGGTTTTTTGCTGTTGCATACGGTGTCCTTTTTGGAAACAAGTTCTTCCATCCGTGGGGTCAGAGCGATTCAGTAGAGGGCAGTCCATGCGAACCTCATCAAGAGGCCGCCAAAAGGCCTCCGACTCATGTTCCAACGAAGCGAAGCACCTGTTTGTAGACATCGTAGAGAACATCGCTTTCCAAATCGTAAACATGATGATGCTTGGGTCACGGTGGAGCTTTTTGTTTTGATGTGGTGCCCCAAGCTTTAGGGATGAAACGTCCCAGGGTGCCACTTGTTACCACAAAGGTGTCCCAATATCCACATCGATGGCCATATTTTTCGATAGCAGAAGCAGAGTTTGGGAAGTGTATTCTGTTGGAATTTTCCACGGCCGAGCTTTCTGGGCCATGAGAGTACGGCATTCGTGCAGCACCATGGTGTTTCTTCTAGTCCATGGAGTGTCGAAGTAGTGCCATCCAGTCGGAATTTCATCCAATAGTTCAGAGGATGAAAACCAATTATGTATATTTGGAATTCCAACAATCTTCACTGTGTAAATGGGGGACATATAACATATAGGATGTGATAGGGCTGCATTCATCCATTTCAGGTCGGGTGGCATGCTTAGAAACTTAACTCTAGGACCTCTAGGAGCTTATTCGCTGGTGCCCCTTGAGAGTGACGGCGCTCACTGGAGGTTTAACAGATCGGTCGCTGCGAGCAGCACATGCCCAGCTGCTCGCCGCGATGGTTGCCATCCCGGAAGCCGCACCGCAGGAGCGCCGCGCTCGGGGCGAGCGGCCGGAAGCCAGGCTATCACCCAAAAAGGACCACAGACTCAAACAATTTTGTTGGACCCACGCAACAAGCTTCTTAAAAACAAGAATCCCTATTTGGTTCACCCACATTGCTTGAATTTCTTGGGACCTGTTGAACCAAACCTGACACCAGGCATGGACATGTCCCACCAGTAGGGCGAAGAGATGCCACCGGCGGACAATGCGCCGCCGTGGACACCGGTTTCCGCTGAGATCTGAGATGAAGGGACTGTGGCAGCCGAAGATGGGGTTGAACATCAGCAGGATTCATCAAAGGTGGCAGCCGGATTCCGACGTCTCAGGCCATGAGATCAATTAGGATCTGCAATTATCACTGGATCAAACCCAAAAATCTCTGCACCGTCAGAGTCTCTCACGTCTCCCCACCCGGGACAGCCCAATCAACGCCGGTGTGTGCAGGTGCTGGATTGGTGGCCTTACAGCAGTCCGGCGCCCTTGCCCAAGGTGAAGTTGAAGCGGCGCTAGGTCGCCGCCGAAGGCGGCGCCAGTCAGGTGGTAGGTTAATGGCTTCCCCGACACCGGGTGGTGGGGGCGGGCGCGTCTTCAAGAGACTGAAGATGAGCGGGAAAGTGAGGGTTGCTGGAGAAGTCTGCAGTTCTACAAGATGTCTGAAGATATCAATTTTTTTGTTTTTTCTTCAATTGTTCATCCTCTTTGTCCCAGAAGATTTGCTGTGGAGACATCGCCAAGATTTTTTTCAAAACGGTCCATCTTCAATTTCAGCGCGTTGAGTGGTGAACTACTGCCACTGCCCGACAGCCGGAAAAGGACAGCTCGCATTGGCAGTTTGGGGACGTTGTTTTTTGGATGTGGAGTCAACGCCGCCTTACTTTTGCAGATACCTCTCTCATTGGGATGTTGAAAGAAGAGAAAGACGATGGATGTGAAAGTTCATACCGACCCCTGAACAAGTATGTGATGACATATTTGTGCCAAAAGGAACTCATGCGTGCTGCGTGAGTGGTTACTGTAACCCAAGATTGAAAGTAATTCCCCTCCAATACCATGGCACTGTAAGCAAAATCGATCCTGTCTTTGTGCAAAACGTTTGTGGGCTTTCAATAGGCAGCAAAGACCTGTCGTGCCCGCCCTACAAGCTTTGAACCCCATGAAATGACGGGCAGTCGCACAGGGTGCCAAGTTAGTTCACCTGCAAACATTTGTGAATGATGGTTTGGTGCCCAAGAATGGGTTGGCTGATGAAAGTCAAAGGCTCATTCAAATCAAGGTCCAGCAGATGAATCAACCAGGAGGCCATAGATATTGTAACTGGCATGCGCGAGCTGCAGCGAAGCCTTTATGCAGGCACCACGAGTTCCCAAGACTAAGCAGACGATGTATAGGGATGACACCATGTAGCTTGACCTTCCAGATAGGTGAAGCACGGTATCTTTGCTAAGTTGCGACCCATCGTCCCAACGGGGGTCAGCCATCAGCCATGGCGACCAGTGGCGTGACCCTGCCGATGACCCTGGAGGTCCGGCGATGACCGGCTGAGGGGCTTGCATTTCCACTGTTTGAGGGAGATCTCCGAGCCCCGCAAGTGGCTGAGATGCGAGGCTGAAATATCTCTCGGGCTTGCGAGTATCTCCCAGGTAAAAACTCCCTCCTTTCATCTCAGGTTTTTGACATCTTTTTGACCTTCCAATCGCGCACATCGTCGGCATCTGCTGACATCCAGGCGCTCGTGGGCTATGACGAGCCGGGGAATGAGGCGCAGTTCTGTCCGGTCCGGGTGCGCAGTGCTCGCGATTCAACTCGGACAGAAGGGCCATCGCTAGTAGGCCGGAGGCCGTCGCTCTTAGGTCGGAGGCCGTCGCTCTTAGGTGTTGTGTGTGGTGTATGGGTAGGGACATGAGGACTGGTGTAGCGCTACGAAGATGATTGGGATCTGATTTGTGGGAATATGCATTTAGGAGTTTAATATGAACTATATTAGGACTCAACCTCCAGTCAAGGACAAGGCCCTAGCAGGGAATTTGGATCAGTTTCCACTTCAAACCAAGTGGTGAAGAGCTTTTCTGGCTTCTGTGAAAAATCACTCCAAAGTCGATGAACATGGAATTGAGCCACACCCAACCACCCCAGATGACTCTCACAAACTCACAGCTCAGCCTGTAAACCAACTTTTTGTGATCCCCCAAATAGATAGTGGCACGGTTTCCAAATTTGTTTTAGTGGGGCAACTATTCTATCTGTGACAGGGGCGTCTAAATATCATACTTAACAGGGGGTCCATGACAGGATGCGTTTTCATGGTTTTTTTCTTTTTCGGAGCACCGCAAAACCGCGGTCCGTGACCGTCGTCTGTCGGTCGTTCGCCTCGCTCTCTCTGAGGTCTTGGGGCTCCCGCTGAAGCGCACGCACCGAGTCGCCTGGGTGAAGGGGGAACGGGGGGCGACGCGGCACTTTTGGGCTTGGGAGGTTGGCGCAGGATGTGAAGATGATGGATGGTGTTTCCGGCAAAGCAAAACCTTTTTGATATGCTTTTGGTTGGAAGTCAGGTCCTGACTGATGGGTTCTAGAGTGTGTTGAGTGCAGATTCGTTGGGTCGTTTCGGACGTGCAGGTCATATTTTCTCAAGCTTCTTTGTTCTCTTTATAGATACAGTGCATGTCCACAAAAGTGAAGCTCTCAGATGAGTTTTCGTGCGCCAGCTTGCCATGCAGCGTCGGAGGGTGTGGAGAAGTCCGACTTTCTCCAGAGTTCGGTCGAATCAATGCAGACCCTGAAGAGTTCGGTGCTTAGGGTGTGTCCCAGCAAACCGGTAAGAGTCGTTAAAGGAGTATCACTATTTTTGAGAAAGACCTTTACATCCACACCATCATCCACTCGAAACATCAAGAGGGGTTGATGTCTTTTATGGCCAGCAAGCTGGGTTCCCTGGTAGACTTGAATGGTCGGAATAAGGATGTGAGCTTCAGATCACGGTAGGTGGCGTATGGTGACCTACATACGTATACATCCGTAGAACCTGAGTGACCCTGTTTTGGAGCCAAGACATGATCTTTTCCTATCAGATCAGAGGTCCAATGGGTTCTAGGCACATACTGTATATCCCCCGGCACAGTCGAGGTGTGAGATCTGCAGCGCTTGGCGCAGTGGTCAGACATTGATCTCATGTATACTGATCCCCCCAAAAGATCAACCAAGTCGCCCCCCAGCCCAGAACATGTCTGGCAGCCACACCGTTTGTATCTATTTGGGTACTAGGGGCTCCTGGCCTTACTACTAGGAGCAAGGGCGCTACGAACAGGGCTCCTGGCATCGCTACGAACGGAGCATTCTTACTACGAACGTCACTAAGAAACTACAGTAACAAAGGGCCACGCGACTCGAACGCAGCGATCGGACGCGACTCGAACGGGAAGCTCCTGGCCTTACTGCTAGTCACAGAATCCCAACGCCTTTGAACTTCGTTGGACTGGGGTGTCGGTCAGGTGAGGACCTTGCCGGGCTTTCACCTCATGTCGTTAGATGCTGGAAAAGAGGCAGACGTCAGACGTCAGACCAACACAGACGATGAGGACGGGTGGGTAGCCAGGTGGTGTGTTCAGACGTCAGGCCCAAGCACTAGGCGTCAAAGTCCGAGATGTTCATCTTCAGTCACGGTCAGTTCTTTTCGGGTGTTCACTTCTATGGACCCCAAAAGGTCCATGGTCGGTTGCGGGTGACCGCTGTTTCAAACAAAGCGAGGAGTAGTCAGATGTGAAGATGTGAATGAAGCGAAGTGAGAGACTCAGAGGTTCTGGGTCAAAAACAGGTGCAGGAGGTAATGAGGATGAGATACCTCGGGTAGGTCTGCTTTCGGAACACCACCAACCGTGCTGTGTCGTGGGTGTGGTACGTGTGTTTTTTTGCACCCTTCTTTTTTGGACCAGGCCATGGCGCAAGGGAGCTATGAGGCCTTCTCTCAGCGCTTCAAGTGCGAGGGCTTGGAACATCTGCATCCGGAGGAGAGAGAGAGAGAGAGAGAGAGAGAGCGAGAGCGAGGGCGAGAGGTCCGGCTTACATGCAGGCTTCCGAAAAAACGGAAAGAGCAACAAAGAAGCGGAATCCGAGCAACTCCACCTGGTGGGTCCAAGTGCCGGCGATCTAGTGTTTTTTGGTCCAAGTGCTGTGCGAATGTTCGTAGAGCAACAACCCTGTGAGCATCTTCAATCAGCTGATGATATCTTCTCTTGAATTGGAAAGAGAGAGTTGGATGGAAACGGTGGAAGGGAGTGGGAGTGAGGTTGTAGGCAGATTCGGACATGTGATTGTATCATTTGTAGAGTCGTCGGAGTCGTAGAGATGCAAGATTGGGACCTTGGCTCAGACCTCTATAGCTTCTAAACCTGAACTATGGAGATTACGGCAGTGTCTGGGAAGAGACTTGCGGAGCTTGATGAGGATGAGTTGCGGTACATGGTGGAAAGTGGGAAAACTGTTCGGGACCTCAAGCGACGTCTTTCAGCTCAGGTTGGGCACACAAGGTTTCAGCAAAGACTCATGGTCAGTGGCGAAGGTGACGAATTGCAGGATGACATGCCTTTGAGACCACTGCCAAGTGTACAGCTGGTTTTCCTGCCCATTTGTGCTCATGATGAGACTATGGACGGCGATCTAATCCAGAACTGCCGGGAGAATCAGGTGAGTCATGTTGAAAGATTGCTTCAAAAACCACAGCGCCCAAGCGAAAGGGCTTTGATTGCTGCAGTGATGGAAGGCCACGTGGGAGTTGTCCGATTGTTGCTTGAGGCTGGAGCTGACAAAGATGCA